CTCCTTCTTCATGTTTTTCCCTTTTCTGGAAGACAGGTCTCTAGTCAGTGGCAATCTCAGATGGCAGTTGCAAATAAGGCCCTGAACAACTGTGCAGTGGCTTCCGTAAGAGTGTGTTCCCCTAAGAAAAGGAAATGTTTCTTTGATTCTAAATATTCTCATTTAAGGCTCCCCCACATCTCACACTTATGAGTGAATGTATTTCACATGGGTAAGCTTAGAAAAGAATCACAGCCTTTTACTGGAAGTTATATTTCATGAAACAAGATCAAAAATGTCAACAGCGAAAATGTCGAAGAGGTGCCACTTGAAAATATGCCTTTGAACTCATTTGACCAAGGCTATTGTTTAAAAAAAAAAATCACACCTGTGTGTAGACAGATAGGCTCTCTTTATCTGGTAAGAACTAGGTGTGGAGACACGTGGGACAGATAATGAATCTCTATTGCTATCTATAGTTTCATTGTTAACACCGTCTTGGTTGAAGTGTGAAAATATGTTCACACTTTTGAAAATGGGCGATTAACTAATCAAATGACAACACGAATTGGAACACAGAAATTACTGTTACCCAACACTACTTCTGATTATGGTTTTTTTTTTAAATTTTGTAAGAAAAGCATTGTCTCGGGCATCCTTCAAGATTATCAGGGAAGTTACCATATCTTCCCCACTGTAACAATCAGTGCATAAATTGTGACCACCATCATCAGTCTACTTTCCCTAGTGCACCTAGTATTTTATTCTCAGGGAATTAATTACAGGGAACATTTTCCTTGGATAGGCAAGTTCCAGGAAACTGTAACAGAGAGATGACACAAGCAGCACTGAATAACCAGGGGCTGTAAGCAGCAGCCACTGTCCCGTTAAGGCCCTGTTAAGTAGCAGTTGTGTGTATTAAGTACTACTGGTCTCACATCAGTGCCCCAAGAGATGTCCCAATTAAGCAAGTTTACTGGATGTCAGTTAAATGAAGCATACAGTACTAACTTGTATCAAAGTGCTACATGGCAAAAGCCCCACACATTTCAGCACAACTTCACAGGGCTGCCCAACTTGTGCAAGATTCATATTAAAAAAGATTTGACTAAACACAAATTGCACACTCCAGATGTCATTTCAGAATGCTCTCCTGGGATAAGATACAAGTTAGACCTCATGTTTAAAGGAGACCCACTTTGCACTTTTTTTTTTTAACAAAACCATCCCTTTATACCTTTGGATGATCCAACAGGATATATATATATAGCTCACTTCCATGGGCACTTCCACATTAATGAAAGAAAAACTATCCTTTCTCTGTATAGGTTGATGAACATAATAACATCAAGAATGCATATAAAAAGCATGCAGAATATGTATTTACGAAGCATTTTACTTTTTTATCTATACTGCCAGAATTCTTGATATGGCTCTTAACACTTCATATCTCTAACACTGTAACTTCCTCTTTTCTGGTTGTGAAAATTGTTCTGCTTGTATTCATTTGAGCTGCTGTAAGAAAATTTCTTACCAGTTCTCCTGTGTCACTGTGTCAGCCACTGGGCCACTTCCTGGGATCGCTGCACTGACTCCCAAGTCAGACATAAGCTATTTATCTTAATTTAAAGCCCTTTGTGGACAGTTTCTGTCTTACTTATGCCATTCCTCCTCTCTGTAATGTCAGTCTCATTTGCTTATCTGTCAAGGTAACACTTTCTCCAATACTTTCTCATTTCCAATCATTTCTAATAGCCCCAAATGCACAAGACTATTATCAGACCCAGAGCTGCCTATGCCCTTGCTCAAAAACTATTTGTGACCCTCAAATCTCCATCTTTGTTCTAGCCAAAGTTGTTCTAGACAATTTTTTCCTTTGTATTTGTTCTTATTTCATCAAGGTGTGTCTTACTCCCTTGCAGTTCTTAGCATTCCTTGTTTTTTTAGGTCAGACTTGGAAATAAGACTTACAGAAAAATCCTGTTTCTGCTTTCCAGGCTTGCTACTGGAAGAAGAGAGGACAGCTTCCCCAACTTACAAAGTTTTTGGACTTCTGTTTTTGTGTGTATTGCCTTCATCAAAGAAAGTTCTGTCTAGCCTAGTATCCTGTGATTAAATTAACACAACGCACAGACCTGACATGTAAATTCAAAGATCTTCATCAATAAAAGAAATCTTCTGAGTTCTGATTTTGCAGGTCATACATAAACATCAATAGCCAAGAGTCTAAGAGCAGCAAAAATCACTAACTAAAATAGTGCCTTTTTCTTAACTTGACTTACTGTAAGCATACATTCTCCTTTTTTTTTGGTGAAAGCTCCTCCTTGTGTCACATGTTCTCTTGCATTTTCTTGATGCAGATACATACAAGAACTCTTTGCAGACTGGCTGGTATCTTTTCTTAAGCACTCTTACATTCAGTGCAGAAGCGGCATAAGCCAAAAATCCCTTAATAAAGCAAATACAAGTAAGTCGACATGTTGCATTTGCACAGCCCTGTTGAACTAAAATTCTCTTAATCAGTGTATAAACATTAACTGAAGTGGTATAGTTTAAAATTGCAGAAAACAATTGTAACATTCACATTTTACTCTATGGAAAGATATCAGACATGGATTTTAAAGAAAAGCAAAGCATAAAGGCACTTAATGGTGTAAAGCTGAAATGCTCTAGACCAGTAAGGCCAAAAGCAGTCGTGTGGAAGATTTTGCCTACATCACGCTCTACTAATTTCTGTGAACATATCAACATGAAGAACTTGGCTCTTAGTGTGGCCTCAAATTGAAACAATCTATTTTCAAATAAAGGGACTGAATTTTCAGATGGGGAAAATAATGTAAATCTGGGGAAAAAACTTGACTTGAAACTTTAATGAAACTTCTTTTAAAGAACAAATAATTTGGTGATTGCTATCAGAATTCCTCCTACTGATTTTTTCTAGACTTATTATCTTCAAGAGGCATAGAAGGTCTATCTGGTGTTTGGGGAAGGCTCCTGGACTTCCCACTAAGAAGGTAATATTTAACACTCATCTTTCCATCTAACAGCAAGTAACAATGCCAGATAACAGAGGAAACACTGTATTTAGAAGCATTTTTGCAGCCTCCTGTAGGAGGCTACTGCATAAAATGACTGATTTTCGATACCACCTGTCACTCCAAAATGTTGAAGATAGGAAAAGAAGGTGGGCTTCTTGAAAATCCTGGATTGCATTTGTTAAAACAAGTCCTGAGTTTCAGACACGTCTCCTTGTTTTTAATTTCTCTTGATTTCTGGGGAGTCACGTTCTTGGATTTTTAATTGTATGGCAATTTGCCAGTATTTATTTATTTATTTATTTATTTATCTTAATATATTGCACATTTTGTTTTCCAAAGCAGGCAGCATTGCTTCGTACCATGAAAAACTAAAGTACATATAATAATAATATAATATATAAATGTACATATATATAATGGCCAGTCTTCGCGAGCGAAGATCCGGGGAAGGTCTTTACACCTTCCAGCCTGCGCATTGGATTTTTTAGGTGAGACACAGTGTGCGCGGAACTGAGCCCACCCTTTAATCCTAAGGTTCATCTGTCGGGGCCAAGCGAGCTTGGACGGTGGCAGCGAGGTCCTTAGGACGTAGGTGGGTTGCCTTTAAGGGCTAACGAGCTCCATCTGCCCGGGAGTGGCCCTGACCGGGAATCGAACCCGGGCCTCGGTGGTGACAGCGCCGCGCCCTTAACCACTAGACCACCAGGGGCTCCTATTAGCTTAGTACTTCCTTGTGATTTGTCTGTCTCTTGACCTATTCTGATGAGAAAAGGGTCTCCTGGGCAGATGGAGCTCGTTAGCCATGTAAGGCAATCCATCTACGTCCTAAGGACCTCGCTGCCACCGTCCAAGCTCGCTTGGCCCCGGCAGATGAACCTTAGGATTAAAGGGTGGGCTCAGTTCCGCGCACACTGTGTCTCACCTTAAAAATCCAATGTGCAGGCTGGAAGGTGTAAAGACCTTCCCCGGATCTTCGCTCGCGAAGACTGGCCATTATTATTATCGAAAAACTAAAGACTGGTTAGTTAAACATACTGCAGACTCCTAAATATGAGGTTTAGGTGGTACAGCAAATTTCCTGATTCCTCTCTCAACCACACATCTGTCACAGGAACGTGGAGCCAGAGATAATGAGGCATGAGAGAGGATCTCTTGCCCGCTGATTGGGAAGCCCTTCTTAAAGGGCACGGACCAACTCATTGGTTAAAACTGCCACCACTGACATCCTCCTTTTCCACTTCAAGCCCTTGCTGTGGAAGTCAGGCTGGAGGCCTGGGCTGGAGGCTGTGACACCCAGCCCCTGTCAGGGGCTGCACACACTCCCAAGCTTCCCTGAGGTTCCCAGGGAAGAGGTACTCCCTGTACCTGGGCGTGCAGGGAGCCCCGTTCTGGGCTGCTCAGTACAAGAGAGACACAGCTCCTGGAGTGGATTCAGTGGAGGGTAACGAAGGTGACTGGGAGACTGGAGCATCTCTCTTATGCAGAAGGGCTGAGGAAGCATCGAGAAGAGATGACTGGGAGGGGACCTCATCGATGCCTACAAGTATGTGAAGGGAGGGTGTGTCAAGAGGATGGAGCCAGGCTCTTCTCAACGGTACCAAGCAACAGGACAAGAGCCAGTGGGCAGCAACTGATGCAGAGGAAGCCCGATCTGAACATGAGGATTACTGTAACCGAGCATGGAACAGATTGTCCAGAGAGGTTGTGGAATCTCCCTCACCGGAGACGTACAAGAACCGTCTGGACACAACCCTGAGCCACGTCCTGCGGGACGATCCAGCTTGAGCAGGGAGCTGGAGCTGATGACCCCGCTGTGGTCCCTTTCCGACCCGACCCATTCTGTGACTCCTCGGTGACCCTCAGAGTCCGAGACCACCCGTGCCCCTCACCCACCTCAGAGCGCCCCTCACGCTGCGCGCCCCGGCCCGCTGAGGGCAGGGCGCGCGGGCGGGGGGCGGGTCCGCGCCTGCGCCCGCCACGGGGTCGATGCGGTGCGTGCGCGGCGCTTGCGCAGGTGCGGCCGCGCGCGGGTTCGCAGATGGAGCCTCCCCCCGGCGCCGCAGGTAGGGGCGGCCGCGGGGCGGGCGGCGGGGACGGAGGCAGGCAGGCAGGCAGGCAGGGAGGAGGCAGGCAGGCAGGCAGGGAGGGAGGCAGGCAGGGAGGGAGGGAGGATGGCAGGGAGGGAGGGAGGATGGCGGGGCGGTGGCGGAGCTTCCCTCCTGCACACACACTCCCCCGCTCTCCTCCCGCCCGCCTCGCCGGGGCTTCCTGTGGGAAACCCCCCCCCCATCGCCTTCCGCTGGCTCCGCTCACCCGCCGGGGAGGGTGGCGGGCTGGGCTGGGCTGGGTTGGGCTAGGCTAGGCTGGGCTTCCCGCACCGCCCGCAGGTGCTGGGAAGGGACACCCCGAGGGGCTCCGGCCCTCCGCGAGGTGCCCGGCGGACTGGGGCGTCCCCACCGCCCTCCCGGCTCCCTCTCCCCGCCGCGCCTTCCGTCCTTCCTTCCCGCCACCGCCGTGACCTCCAGCGGCCGGGCGGCGCCCAGGCAGCCCCGAGGGGGAGGCCGAGGTGCCCGCGGGGGCTGCTGTGGCCTCTCTGGCTGTGTAACGAAGGAAAAGAAAAAACACCAAGGTTACGTGGCCTTTGGCTTCGTTTTGCCGAGGTCTTGCCCGAGCGCTGATAGACACGTGTCCGCAGAAGTGAATGGAAAACTGTGTCCTTTATGCCCACGTAGTGTTCGCTCACCTACCTTGAGTCCCGGAGTCAGGGGCCTTCAGCTTGGTGTATTAAAAGGCCATTTCCTCGTGAGAGCGAGCCCAGTGAGGTGTGGGCCGGCTCCAGCTGGCACAAGGTGTTGGGACACCCGTAGCTGGTGGCAGACTGCAGCGGTCCTGTCGGCGCAGCCTGTGGCTGCTTCTTCAAAAGCTGAAGGGTGTTGGCCAAGGCCAACCTCCTGATTTCTGATAGAAACCTGTCCTGGGCCTGGCTTTTCAGGCCCTACAAACAAGGCATTCATAGAGCAGTCAAGTTCTAAGTTTGTTTTGGGTTTTTTTGATCATGTTCTCTAAGTGTTGATCTGTTACTGAATTAAGAGAATGTTATAAAACTTACTGCTGCATTTCGAGTGGTGGATGTTCATATCTACAGCGTAATTTCACTTCCCAGTTGTCCTTTGGCAAAAACTTCGTTATCACACTAGCTTAATTCAACCTGTTGCGATTTCAGTGTAGAGCAAAAAGGTTGACTCCAAACACTGAAGTTCATCAGTGTTCTGCTTCCCTGTGTGTCTGTATAATGACATTATGTGTCCCTCCCAGTCCATGTTGTAGTTGTACATTAGCTGTGGTAGGACTGCTGAGGGTGTACTTCGGGTACATGTGTGATACTAATACTGAGATTCATCTGCTGAGCAGTGGCATTGCTTGCTGACACCTCTCTAAATCTGGTACCTTGTTATACAGTGTATTTTGCTTCCCTCCCCCAGCTCCCCATTAGTCCCTGGCTGTTATGGCTCTGTTGAAAACCTCAGAATGTGAACTAAAAGCAAAGATGTCTATAAGTGAGGTAGTAGAGAAACGAACAATAGCTGCAAGAGGTGTGAGCTGCCCTGTTCATATTAGTAAGGTGTTAACCCAGATACCCCGGTGCGGTAGGTTTTAGTGTCATCATTGTTAACTGCTTCTTGGCTCATATACGAGAAAAAAAGAGGGAGAATCACAGTTCTGTAAATTGTTACTGTGACTGATACTTCATTTTGTGGTCGCAAAAGACGCAAATATTCTCATGGCTTTGCCAGGCAGTAGGGAGGGAATATCAAGGAGCCCTCAGAAGCTCAGAATATAGAACCTGTGAAAATACAGAACCTGTGAATTGTGTCGTGATTTGTATGGGAGGAGTTTTTTGACAGCCACAGTTCGGGAAGGAACTGTGATTGTGTAATTAGGTGATTACAGTCAGTAAATAAATTGGTAAATGAATCTGTTCACAAAATTGTATGTTCATAGAATCATAGATTATCCTGTGTTGCAACGGAGTCGCAAGGATCATCAAGTCCGATTCCTGGCCTTGCTCAGGACATCCCCATGTGCCTGAGAGCATTGTCCAGACACTTCTTGAACTCTGGCAGGCTTGGTTCTGTGGCCAGTTCTCTGGGGTGCCTGTTCAAGTGCCCAACCACCCTCTGGGGGAAAAACCTTTTGCTAATATACAACCTTAAACCTCCCCTGGCTCAGCTTCAGGCCATTCCCTTGGGTCCTGTCACTTGTCACCAGAGAGAAGAGATTACTGCCTGCCCCTTCACTTCCCCTTGTGAGGAAGTTGTCATTGCAGTGAGGTCTCCCCTCAGTCTCCTCTAGACTGAACAAGCTGAGTGACCTCAGGTGCTCCTCATAAGGCTCTTGGTCCTTCCTGTCCTCTAGGCCCTTCAACAATTTTGTTGCCCTCTTTTGGATGCTCTTCAAGAGCATCCTTGTAATGTGGTGCCCAAAACTGCACACAATATTCAAGGTGAGGCCACCCCAGTGCAGAGCAGAATGGGACAATCCCATCCCTCAGCTGGCTGGCGATGCTTTGCCTGATGCCCCCCAGGGCATAGTTGGCCCTCCTGGCTGCCAGGGCTCTGCTGACTCAGATTCAACTGGCCATCGACCAGGACCCCCAAGTGCCTTTCCATAGTGCTGCTCTCCAGCATCTCATTCCCCAGTCTGTCCATACATCCAGGGCTGCCCCATTCCAGATACTAAACTGTGTTAAACTTCACGTGGTCGGTAATTGCCCAGCTCTCTAATTCATATAGGTCTCTTTGCAGGGACTCCCTGCCTTTGAGGGAGTCAGCAACTCCTCCCTGTTTAGGAAAGTGTTACACTAGTTTGTTTTACCCTTTTCCAGACTGAATGTGCTGCAGCTCAGCATTGAATTTGATTTTTGTACACACCACTTCCAAAAGTATGTAGGGTGCTGTTTTTAGTAATAGAGGCCATGGGTTATAAGAAAGCACATTTTCTTTTTAATGTGCACTTGGTTATATCTGTCATTTTCAGGTGGTGATGTCTGGATCCCTAGTTGAAGATTCACAGATGTGCAAAAAGAAAAGTGGAGTCATTGTCAGCGGCTGAGATACACAATACAGGCTTTGGTACCTTTCCTAGATATAGGGCTTAAAAGCAGAGGGGCTGAAGACTGATTAAATATTTTTCCTAAGCTACTTAAAATGTCTATTTATTGCTGTCATGTGGAAATCTAGGTTGCTAACAAGTTACAATGTCAGTTTTTCGGTGGAAGGAGAGAACTGGGCTTGCAGAATGGTTGTAACTTATTTCAAAGTGGCCAGGGCTGTAAGACCAGAGCTAGAAGAATATACTGAAAGGAATGAAATGATAACTTTGAAAGATAGGAAGGATAAAATAATGGGGGATAAAATGTTGTTGGATTTAAAGGGCAAAAATATACAAGTAAAAGGAAAAGTGGCTTTTCAGCTGTTCTTTTTCAGCTTTTAATTAAACTTCTTTTAGGTAAGTTGCCAGAATAACATCTGCAATTCCTGTTTTAGTGTAACTGAAAGGCTTTTAGCCTTGCCTCCATGTCAGAACATCTCATGTTCTGGAACTTATGAAAGCACTGGTGTGTTTTGATCACATCTGTGATGTTAGTTTCCAAGATTCCAATTCATTTGTATTACATGTACTGATTATTCATTAAGTACATAGGTACAGAAGTCAAAGGTTGGCATTGTTTCTTATTGTCTCTTAGTCTTTCCAGTTAAAGGAATTTAAAAAAATGCAGAAAGAATGGTATTTGGTCCTGTTATTCAAAAGCCTTGCTCTTCATTTGTGTGTGGTGTTCATCCTTTGGAATGAAAGGTGTAAATTTTATCTTGAAAGGAGTGGCTAAAGAGATAAATATTTAAGTGCTCAAGGAGTTGATTTGTTTTTAAATGAAACTTTTATTTGTGGTTTACTTTATTTTTCAAGTACACCTTGTCATACACTTCTGAAAGTTAGTAAAGAGGACTAGGTAATGCTGCAGCAACTGATTAACATTATTGGGCATGGTGGGAAATCTTAACTTGTTAACATCTCCTCTTGTAATAATGAGGGGGAGGTGTTTATTGGTTGTTATATTTTCCTGCATCCTTTGTTTTTCCAGATGTTGGGGACTAAACCTAAGTTTTCCTAACTGGCAGGTCTGTCATACTTGAACGATGGTACAGGCAAGACATTAATGAACCTGCATTATTTCCAGCAGTAAATACTTAAGTCCTAATCTGTAATTAATTTTCAGACCCTGTAACTGGATTTGCTGTGTGATCAACAGTGTAAAAATATCTCCTTGTGTCGGCTTGGCTTTACTTATTGCTCACTAGATGTATGAGCATTTGCAATCTGCATGTAATTAACAAAAAAGTGTGCTTTGCCGAGTCTGCTTTTCCTTTTTTTCCTAGATATTACAGACTTTCTGTAATACAACCAGTGTTCACTTTTAGCAAACAGTATTCTGGTAATCCAGTACTGCCATATTGCGGGAACATGAGCCCCAAAGCAAATGTAAGATAACAAATTCAGCCACTGAAAAAGGTGAAAATTGACTTTGAGGTGATGATAGAATGGTGAGAAGTTAAAGCTTTGGAAATTTTCCCTGGTGTTGTCATCCCTGTACTCCATCTTAATTTAAAATTATGTCAGTATTAGAAAGATCTCAAAATCTGGAACTTTTTAAATACAAATAAATTTATTCATATACCTTTAAAGAAGAAAAAAATGGTTGCTGCGTAGAGAAGCTGCACTGATCAGTTTCTTTTGCTTTTAAATCAGGGTTTCACAGTATCATATATAGTTTCACTTGGATTATAACACTACTGTCATTTCGTGTTGTCCTTCTATACTTTAAAACCCTTAGTAGAAACCAAGTACTTAAGGCTCTAGTTTGTACGTGGACAGCGATGTGCAAGTGAAATTACCAAACTCAGTAGCATTTCATGTGTGCATGAAGGTGTTTGGGCCTGGTCCATCATGTGTCAGTTTACACTGGATGTTTTTGACCGATAAAATCCTTTAACAGGATTCTACA